AAGTAGCACTTTAGTTGCTACAAAAGTTACAATCAGAGAGGAGTCCATAATGGATTACTCAATTAAACCAGATGTTTACAAATCCTGAAGTATGTAATAAAGGCAGTCTTGGGCATAAAAGGCCTTTTAGTATTTTTCATGTCAAAAGGGGAGAATAACGAAACGTTCTAGAGATCCTCTTCATTTGTGGATTGCATTCCAGAGAAGCATCTCTCCAAGTGTATAAAGAAAATTTTGTTCATAGGGTATTGATAAGGTTATGTAAAAAGAAACGAAGGACCTATTAGGTGAAATAAAGCTAAAATTATTTCCTTATTACAGGACTTCCCCCAGCCTTTAATATGTGTTGTGATTCACCAAGGAGTAGATACAGAAGCCCACATTCTCTAAAAGGTTTTGTTTACAGAATTTTCTTATTTTTGCTTATTTTTTCTTTGGCACCTTTACGTCTAAATATTTTTTAGGGGTGGCTCCACAAAGAGCAAATCTTGATGGGACATATGGTTCTGGGGAAACGGTGTCAATGACAAAGACCCTGGCTTTAGATAATGTTCTTCATGGGTTGACACCACATGTTGTGACAATAAACCAGCAAGAACCATCATTTTATGGCACAAAGCCTTAACATTCATACCTATTCCTGAGTCATGAATTTCATTGGTACATTCAACATTTATTTCCCTTTAGGAAGACATATCAGCTGCTTGTTCACAGGATTGTCAAGTGCTACCTTAAGGTGAGTTATTCTTTTTTTTTTTTTTAAGATTTTATTTATTTATTTGAGACAGAGAGAATGAGAGAGAGAGAGCACATGAGAGGGGGGAGGGTCAGAGGGAGAAGCAGGCTCCCTGCCGTGCAGGGAGCCCGATGCGGGACTTGATCCCGGGACTCCAGGATCATGACCTGAGCCGAAGGCAGTCGCTTAACCAGCTGAGCCACCCAGGCGCCCAAGGTGAGTTATTCTGAGAAGCTACTTTATACCAGAGTAGTTCCGCTATGGATTCCAGTGGTTTGAAACTACTGCAATCACTTTGCCAATGATTGTAGGTATTTTCAGCCACTGTGATAAAAATATTTGGCAAATATGAAACATTTTTCTGTTAATCCTGTTTGGGACTATCCGCATTCTCATTACATTGTTTGGCAGAGGCTGTTTTTTCTCCCTATGAAATATTCTCTGTATCTGGAATATTCTTTGTGTCTGAATACTGCACAAGACGGTACAGCAGCTGTGTGAGAAGCTGGTTGATTTCAGAGTCATCTCCAACCTTGTGATTGTCCAAATTCCAAAATAGAGTGAGTGTGATTATAGCCTACATAAAAGTTACAGGCTACAGAAGGGCTGGCTCCAAGTCAAATGCCAAATGATGCCACCATGTATTGTACTTTAGACTTGTCTAAAGCTGAACATGTAGAAAACACTTGGTTTAATTCAACAAATATTTATTGAGTACCCATTATATACAAAATAGTTTGTTTCATGCTAATCCCTGGAGCAAAATGGCAGTCTCAAAGTTTAATCAGCAAAGCATTTATTGGACACCCACCAGGATGCTTCCCTTCAATGCCACTATAATTCTATGTAGTGAACACTTATCCAACCCATATGAGCAGCAAATAAAGATAATTGCATGGATGTAATTGGGAGAGGATTAGTAATGCTGACAGCCCAGTCACTGGAATTTCACGTCAAGTGCCCTTTTGATAAATCTACATAAGAGAAGTCAGACATGGTTTTGACAGGGGTGGATCCTGACAGGAATATGCCAGGAATTTTACCAGTTATAGATCAATAGAGAGTGAAAGGTTTAAGCTGAGGTTATCATTTTTAAGAGCTGGTAGGGAACATAAAAGAAAAATCCAACGTCAGCAAGGTGAGTGCTCAAATGAGTCCAGGTGTAAAGAAAGCTAGAACTGTCAGATGCTGTGATGCAATTCAGGAAAGGGTTCAGGACTGAAAATGGAATCAAACCATACTTAATATTTGATAAATACCAGCAATTGAATGAAGAGATGAACCCAAGTTAGGACTGGAAACCAAGTCAGAAAATCTAGAAAAAATACTAAAGAGAACAACATGAGCAAAAGTTAATGTGATTTTTTTAAAAAAGATTTTATTTATTTATATGAGAGAGAGAACATGAGCAGGGGGTGGGGAGAGGGAGAAGCAGACTCCCCACTGAGCAGCGAGCCTGACATGGACTCATTCCCAGGATCCTGGGATAATGACCTGAGCCGAAGGCAGATGCTTAACTGACTGAAGCACCCAGGCACCCCTAATGTGATTTGAATGATAGGAGAAGAGGGACCTAGGGGGAGGACAACATTAGAGTTTGCTCTTTTGTTTCCATGTAGAAATTAATGCAAAAAAAGTCTGGCTTTAGGGACTCCTCAGGAAGTTTAGATGAAAGATTAAGACATATGATTTTTTTTCTTTTCTGAAAATGAGCCCCTGAGTAAAGCAATCTGTAGTTGTACCCATTCCATCATCTAAGCAGAAAAGAACAGGGTCCAGGGGGGTGTGTCCCATATGTTCTGGTTCATCTGGGGGTGTTGGCAACAGATCATTCCAGAGAACTGAGGTCAGAAATTTACACTCAGTATCCCTTCCTCACCTATATTTGGGCATGTGACTGCTTTTTCTCACTCACTAGAGGAGGGTGGTGGCTCTGTGATAAGGTAGACATGCTTGTAGAAGAATAATAAGGATCCCCCCAGGCTTACTTTCAACTGTGTGCTCTAGAGTCAAAGTAAAAATCGCACTTAAATCTATTTTTGGCAACAAAGATCGTTGCCAAAATACAAAGTTTGTATTGCCAGTGTGTATAATATTATGTGTTCTTAGCAGTCAAGATTTAACATGATCTCTGCATTCAGATAAAAGTGAGGGGTAAAAACTTTATTGACTTCCCCTAGTATGTGATTAAGATATATTAGTGCAATTCAAAATATATTAATTGATAGCCCTGGAAAACAAGATGGACATTTCTCTTCATCATAGAGCTTACAGTTTAGCATAACTACATATAATTAGTAACAAATACCTGAAGAGTTACAAAGGAAGGCTAACCTAGTCTAGTGAGTTAAGGAAATCTTTTCTGAGTATTTAATAGTTATACTGAAACTTAACAAGCCTTATAGTTTGGTAACAAGCAAGCTGTGATGGAATGTACTTTTTCTAGCATAGTGGTAACAAGCAAGCTGTGATGCAATGTACCTTTTCTAGCATAGTGTGTGCATCTACACACACAAAATGACGGAGCTGAGCAAAGAAAACATCCTGACATCAGAAAATGTCCATAATAGCTTCAGGGAATAAAAATCATATGAGATGAGGGTGATGTTATCACTATAGGTGGCACAAGCTAATAGTAACTGACACTCACAGACACTTGCAATATGTCAGATGTTTCTTATACCTTAATTCATTTAATCCCGACCATAGCCTGAGAAGATAGCTACTATCATCCTGTAGGCAGAGTCATGAAATTTCCCAGTGCTGATCATCTAATCAGGTAGGCACTGCTTTCAAATACAGGTCTGATTTCAAAGCTCATTACATCTTTATCCCATATCTCTTTGCTAGTGCCTCTTAAATACACATAAAAGGAGGCACAAGGGGTTTAATGGTTGTAGCAGATGCCCTTTGAGCTCTGCATCGCATCCCTTGGCCACCTCTGATTTCAGCCTGTATGTAGCTGGGTGCAGTCGTCCAATAGTGCACTTCAAACACTCATGCTTTACTGTCTCAGAGTTGTCCCTGAAACCACGGGGATTTTCTCAGCTTGGGTGAGTTTGTGGGGGTTATAACACCCCCTGGAATAGCCCTCACCTAATGGATGAGAGTAGTCTAGTACATAAAGGCCCCAGTCCGCTCTCATTCAGAGGGATGTTTCTTTTTTTTTTTTTTTAAAGATTTTATTTATTTATTTGAGAGAGAGAGAATGAGAGAGAGCACATGAGAGGGGGGAGGGTCAGAGGGAGAAGCAGACTCCCTGCCGAGCAGGGAGCCCGATGTGGGACTCGATCCAGGGACTCCAGGATCATGACCTGAGCCGATGGCAGTCGCTTAACCAACTGAGCCACCCAGGCGCCCCAGAGGGATGTTTCTGAGACAACTTCTACATGATTCCTCAGAGGGCCTGTGGGGGATTAAGACCCAGCTGTCCACAGAGGTAACCAGCTTAATGAAATACACTTCAGTTTTCTTGCTTTTCTGTCTCACTTTCTCCACTCTTTCAATCTAACTTCCTGAGATTATTTCCCAAATAAATCATCTCCATCTCAGTCCTTGTGTCAGGTTTTCCTAACAGGGGAATTCAAACTAAGACGGTGATTTTAAGCATTGGATTTTTAAATACAATTTTACACTGCATTTCTGTTGGAATCTGTTCAATCTTCAGCAAAGAGTAATACGATATGACATTCTACTTGTATTTTACTACCATATGGGAGTCCTCAGGTACTTCATTTAAAAAAAAAAAAAGAAAAAAATGAGCAAGACATGCATAAAGCACAGCATAAAATATGAAGGAAATTCAAATACTAAGAAAAGTACCATTGGAAGCATCTGTTATTATAGAAGCTCAACTGCAGAGTTAAAAGTATTAAAGGCCAAATTCTAATAGTACTAAGTATATTTATAAAGCCACCATTGTATCAAAAAAATTTTTATGCCAACCCCAGTGATTTTATATAATTTCATTGATATTTATTTGGCCATCTCACTGATACCATAAAATAAAGAGTAATTTCCCATAGGCCATTTTTAATGGATGCCTCCTGTAAACAAATTTTATTTATTTTTATTTTTTTAAATTTATTTTATTGTATTTTATTATGTTATGTTAATCACCATATATTACATCATTAGTTTTTGATGTAGTGTTCCATTGATTCATTGTTTTCCATATAACACCCAGTGCTCCATTCAGTACGTGCCCTCTTTAATACCCATCACCGGGCTAACCAATCCCCCCTCCCCCCTCCCCTCTAGAACCCTCAGTTTGTTTCTCAGAGTCCATAGTCTCTCATGGTTTGTCTCCCCCTCCAATTTCCCCCCCTTCATTTTTCCCTTCCTGCTATCTTCTTCTTCTTCTTTTTTTTTTTTAACATATAATGTATTATTTGTTTCAGAGGTACAGATCTATGATTCAACAGTCTGACACAATTCACAGCGCTCACCATAGCACATATCCTCCGCAATGTCTATCACCCAGCCACCCCATCCCTCCTACTCCCCACCACTCCAGCAACCCTCAGTTTGTTTCCTGAGATTAAGAATTCCTCATATCAATGAGATCATATGATACATGTCTTTCTCTGGAGGGTATTATGCTGTAAACAAATTTTATGATGTAATTTGTGTTATTTAATTCAGTGTGTTGTATAGATGTAGCAATGATTTAGAATTTATCTGAAGTGAAATACCTCGTGATCTTGTTTCCTTCTAAAATGCCACATATTTTTCAGAAATAGTCTTCTAAGCTTTTTTTCTGTCACTCACATATATTTCAGAAGCAATTGCTGTAGTAAAAGGTTAGTCTTTGAAGGGTTTCATTGTTTTTCTGTCTCCTTAAAGTGTCAAATATAGGGACATAGAAAGAACAAACATATTGTATTGAACGATCTATCATTCATTGGAAGGTGATGGATGGGGTCAGACTCATTCAGGCAGTAAATTCACATCCATTTTCTCAGAAAGCTTTTTGACATGGTTTTGGAAGTCCTCTCTTTATGTGAAATACTATCTCCTTCTTTCTGTTGCTCCTCTATCCATTTCCTCCTCCCTCATTTAGAAGGCAGTGAAATTTTAGTTACATTGAAGACCTTTTTAAAAATCAAACACCTGATGTGTTTAATGAAAGTCAGTGCTTTGATAATCTAGAACTTGCCAAAGAAAATGAATTACTTTGAGTTGTCTTCTCATCAAATTCATTAAAATGAGTTAGAGGCAGAGGTAATTATTTGTTTCACACACTGAGAAACAGGTGTAGATGCTATTTGGAGATCCAAATGAACATGCCAATTAGTACATTAGGTTTATGTGCAAATGTAGTCTCACTTAATTGCTGTGTCTGAGAAAATTTGCCTTTTTTATGAAGTGAGTTTTGGAAAACTAGCTGTTCATTCACGAGCTATGATGATGGAATGCTAATGAGTGAAGAGAGAATGTCTACACACTGCATCTGGACCTTTTTGGAAATGCCAAATTTGCAATGCCCTGGGTTCTGCCCCCATGATTAACACTTTACATTATTGTATGTATCACTGGGGATATGGTACTGCCTACTGCCTTAAGCACAAAACTATAGAAATGAGTTCTGATAGAACATATATGTGTTGATGATGGGAAAATAGAAAAATATGAGATATTTTAGAGGAATTTAGGCAGGAAAGGGCAGAAAAGCAAGGCCTTTCAGATCTGATACTGCATTTCAAGAGAAAGAGAAAAATTAGAAAAAAAACATCTGTTTGAAATAATCTTGCTAAGGATTAGTGTTGAGATTCCTGATTTTTGGTTTCTTTTCCCTTATATTTTTATTTATAATCTAATGGAAGAGAGTGAGAGGAAGGAGGCTAACTTTGTGAATGCTATCATCTGACGTATAAATTATGATATTTTTAGGTCAGGAAGATTATAAATATTCAGCAGAATGAATTTCCATGAAGCAAGCAATATATAAAATAATTTATTATTTAGAAACCTCACTTATGCCATGTAAGTTACTATTTGTGGTAATTGGTTGGCGATCTAGAAATAGCACCTCTTATGAAAAATGCTGGTGCTCTTACAACCCAGCCACTTGTTGGAGCATCTCTGTGCTTTGTTTAGGACATGAGGTTATAAGGGTATACAAGGGTTGTCTTGGCAGTGATGGGAAAAGACATGCCATTCTTTCCTGAGCAAATTTATAGCAGTTATAAATACTGGGTTTGTTCAGAGCTCTTTGCTTTTGCAGCAAATAATTGGAAATAATTTTTAAATATGATTTTTGACAATGGTATGTTTTGAAAAAACTAGTTATGGAAGTATAGAACAGAAACCAAGAAACAGACTCTTAACTATAGAGAACAAACTGATGGTTACCAGAGGGGAGGTGGGTGCGGGGGTTAAATGGATGATGGGGATTAAGGAGGGCACTTGTGATGAGCACTGGGTGTTCTATTAAAGTGTTGAATCACTAAATTCTACACCTGAAATGAATATTACTCTGTATGTTAACTAACTGGAACTTTAATAGAAACTAAAAAAAAAGAAAAATATAGACCAGGACATGCTAGTATAAATTAATCTAATCTAATCCCTCTTGTTCAGGGATTTGTAGAAGCTGGCTTACCTGGTAGTTGTTACTTGGCCTGTACACAGAACAGCCAATTTTAAAAAGATTTACTACATAATATGCAGAATATTTTTTCATTCAAAAATATTACTTAAGCATCTCCTTTACTACACCTTGGGACAAATGAAAGTAAGCTCAAATCTATAATTGGTTCTGCCATCCCTCAACAAACTTACAGTCTAATTGGGAAGACAAGGCCTGGTCTCATGAATAAAACAGAGCAACTAAAAAGAAGAAAAGAAACCAGAGTAGCAGGCTATGTAATCCACATACATGAGAAATATAGTTATTTTATATGCAATTAATATTTTTTTCAGAACAGTTTTTTTCTCATAATAACTTCTTGATTGAAACAATGATGATCTTTTCTCTCTATTCTCACCATCCTTTGACTGGCTTTTTGATATTTCTTAAAAAAAGAAAAGAGGGCTTTAGCTTTTCTCGGTATTTATGGCCTGTCATACTCCTTTGGTCTAATTAACTGCACATAGAATGAGAAGAGCTTAGAGTGTTGTTACCATCAACAACTTAACATCAGTCTCTCCTCTTGAACATCTCTAGTGAATGTATTTTTGTTTCCTCTGATATTGTTCCTAATCCTCTTCATTTTACATGTATGCTTTTGCTTGTTGTTTCTCTTGGCTTAGAGTTAAGTCTATGTGCTTCTTGGAAAGGAAATATTTGTTGAGAAGCTAAAAAAGCAGTAAGTAGAATTTACAGTTGGTGTTAAGTTTGATATCAGTGATATACTTCATTAAAGAAAACAGATTTAAATAGCCTCTTCAGTCTATATTAAACTTTATATAAGGTCTGAATATCTGTAGCATTTATTTGCCATATTCTAGAGCTAAAACAAGCATTTTTGAGAGACAAGACTTTGTTCTGCTGGTATAATAGTCCATTTTGTTAACCATAGGCTCCCAGCTGCTTCTTAATGAGATACAAGCATAATTCAGAGAAAAATAGACTAAGAAACCAAGACTATTAGTAGCAAACGATGTAATAAGAGTTAGAAAGGAAAGAATATGAGCCACCAAGGATTTTTTTATCAGGCTACCCTGTGGTACACTCTTATTGTGGGCAGACACAAATTAAGATTCAACATTACATTCAAAAGCCACCAACTGTTAAATTGGCAACTTTATGATGGCAGGAGGAGAGGAGAGACCTAAAAATTCTTGCAGCTCTGTGTAAAAGGCATCTTTAGATTGATATTTGTAATGTTTTAACTTTTTTCTGGATAATTAAAAAGATTTTCGATCCAAGTTGCTTGAATTGTGATTACTGTCAAGAGTGCTTAAGCCCGATAGATATATTGGAAATAGTGTAATTTTTCAAATGTTATAAATTGATCATTTTACTAGATATTTTCTGTCTTTTTTAGTATGTAATCACTCACAGGTTAGATTTGACACCTAGCCATTGCCAAATATATTTTAGATGCATATCTAAATTGCCAAATAGACAAACAAACAGAATTCTGGTAGACAGATAGAAGGGTGTCCACTCACCTGAAAGATGCTGGAGTAATTTATCTCTCATTTTGTTGAAGAAAGTCTTCATGGATGTCACCCAAAGTGAACAACAAACAGCACTTGAAGGAGTTCACGGAGCATAAGCATCCCATGTACAGTAAGTAGGTTAGCCCCGAGCAGGTCCTATGAGATATTAGAGTTGGACTGTCACAAGGAAATGTCTGCCTTTCAAATTATCATGACGATCAGTGGAATTATATAAGGAACAATTTCAACTGAAATTAAAAGCTAAATACACGATGGACTTGTCATTTTATTGGCAAGATATTTTTAAACACATGCAGCCATCTAGATTCTCATTCATTTTCTCAGGAGGTTATGCCGTTGCTGTGAACAATTATGAAGGAGTAACCAGTTAGAGGTCATCTAAATTATTAAAGTAAGAAAATTTGTCACACATTTAATAAAGAATGTGTTTAAGTGAAAACGGTGTTCATTGTATTTGGTCATGTGTAATATCTGAGGTCTCTCCTCTTTGACAGTGTCAACTTAAATTGAAATGAAAATGTTCTGTGTCTCACACCATTCCCATAAATCCCCATACATTAATTAGCATTCTCTGTAAGCTTTGTTTAGTCCTTTAATTTTTTTCTGTACCCCATTTCTTTGGTGCAGAAGACCAACCACTCTGACATAAAGTGTCATCCAATTCATCTTTATGCAGGTAAGGAGAGTTTTACCTTCAATTCCCAAAACAGGTGGTTGTTTTCCCTTTAAGAGCCTCTAGAATAGAAATGTTATGATTTTTTTCAATATAAATTTCATCACCTTTATACCAGGTATATATCTTTCATCTTTGCGTCTGGCATTTAAAAAATCTATGTTATAGGTTAAACCGTTTTCCTTTAACTGAGCTTTATCTGTCTAGGAAATAGCAGCAGAGGCCCCTTGAAATTACTCTTCAAGTACTTGCAGACAGTTTTGCTTCCCTTCAGGTGAAATGCTTCTGTCATGCCGACCATTTTTTGTGAAGAAACTCTATGCTCTTTCAATACATATTAAATAATTTATTCAAGTGGTGCCTCTGGTTCTGAAAAAATTTTTTTTTCCCTTTTAAAACCCAAATCTTTATTGTAATGTTTTTTTTTTTTTAAGATTTTATGTATTTATTTGCGAGAGAGAGAATGAGACACAGAGAGTGTGAGAGGGAGGAGGAGGATCAGAGGGAGAGGCAGACCCCCCGCCCAGCAGGGAGCCCAATGCGGGACTGGATCCCGGGACTCCAAGATCATGACCTGAGCCGAAGGCAGTCGCTTAACCGACTGAGCCACCCAGGCGCCCCTATTGTAATGTTTTTAATAGTTCTAATTTACAGTGGTATTGAGTTACTCTTGAACAAAACACAGAAAATGGGGTACATTTCAGCAATAATATTCAGAATTGAGAAAACAGAAGATAGAATGTATTATAAACATTCTGAAATTGTATTTTTGAGCTTTCAGGAAAAGAAGTCAGTATATCAGTTTTTTAAATCATGGGTGGGGTGTGGGATGGTGGGGCAATAATGATGATTTGTTTGAAATTTAAAACCTCTATATGAGGATCTATTATACATGATGATGTGGGATATCTAAGGACATGAAGAATGTGTAGACATGAATATGTCCATGTCCTTCCACCTAATTAAAAAGTTGGTAGAGAGATTTGGGGGAGAATTATTTGAGGCTTAATATTGTACACATTTGGTGTTTTAGTTCTCGTCATGTGCTTTCATTGAGGAGAATTGATCAGAGTGAGGTTTTAATTTATTTAATTCATGTTTCTCATATTTGCATAAGCCAAAAATACACTTACACTCAATATCTGGTCCTGTTGTCAATATCTGAGCAATATTAAGTCAGTGTAAAGAATAATTACACAGAACAAATTTAAAGAAATCCACTATTAATAAAATACAGAGAAATTATAGTATATCCTTTGTAAAAAAGACATTTTAAAAAGGAGCATCTGTTAAAATACAGATACTCTAGAAGTACAGTTTCAAATAAATAACTTCATACCTTATAATTGTTTAATTTCTAAGCTACTAGACATAAACTGGATAAAAATTGAGAGAACACAACTACCTAATGTATAAATTGTCAGACTTGGATGGTTTCTATACTGACAACAAAATAAATTTTTTTTTTAAATTTTTTTTTTTAAAGATTTTATTTATTTATTTGAGACAGAGAGAATGAGAGACAGCATGAGAGGGAGGAGGGTCAGAGGGAGAAGCAGACTCCCTGCCGAGCAGGGAGCCCGATGCGGGACTCGATCCCGGGACTCCAGGATCATGACCTGAGCCGAAAGCAGTCGCTTAACCAACTGAGCCACCCAGGCGCCCAACAAAATAAATTTTTAAAAAGAAACAGAGAATGTGATTCTTGCTCAGAATCACAGAGACAGCTGGTTATTAATACATGCAATATAATATATATGATGGTTTGAAATAACCTACTATTTCTACTTAGAATTATAGCATGCTCTGATGCTTTTGTAAATCATGTGCCTCAGTTTTTCAATGTAGAGTTGCCTCTAGGTAGGGCTGGGACTGCTCTGTTTTAACAATCATCAACAGAAAAATGTCAAGAACCATTTCCATTAGTATTTAGTCAGTTCAATCAAAATCACATAAAATAGGGTTTATTAAAGTAGTCAATATCGCTGGTATAAACTGTTCTATGAAACAGTATGACAACTGTTTTGACAGTGCTGGCTGGAATAATAATTGCAACCATTCTGTAATTAGATGTTGAGACTCACATGACATGTTAGAGAAAAATGTAAACAAATATATTTTGAGCCATATGTTTAAGAGCTTTTTAAGTCTGCTTATAGTGCTCAGGCCCATTATATATATACTTGGTCAAATTCATTTATCTATTCATTTATACTATCTCATTCCTAAAGGACTTGAGGTTTGTATACTTGATACAAAGACAAAAACCCATAAATATATCTAGTACTCTAGCCAGAACATCATTTTGTTATTCATTCAGAGGTAATACTTTGGCCCAACGTGCACTGATAGAGGTGAAAAGGATTTTAGCTCTCCATTCTATTAATATCAATGAGTTTTTCAATTCCTATTGTCTACCTCCTTGACTTTCCTGTTAAATTTTATCAAGAAACAGAGACTGAGGAATCTTCAAAACAAAAGCTGCAGATTCAGGAAACTTTGATGTCTTCTAACAATTTGAATGAAAAAAAAATTCTTTATACAATTGCTTTTCCTCAAGAATAGGTTACTCTATTTGAAACAAGCTGAGAAAAGATATAATACATGGAAGCTTAGGAGGTGTTTGTCTAGGAAGTTAGGTTTGTAAAATCATATATAATTTCAATTCCTCATTCTATAACCTCTCTTAGACACATTATTCTGATTAATGATGTAGCTCATTAAAATTGCTCTGCATGTTCCTTAGACTTTTTGGAAATTAGTCACTTTACTATATACTGACATCAACTTCCTGAGGTCTAAGTTCTACTTATGACTCGGACACATTTTACCTCAAGTAAATCTTTTCATATTTAGTGGCCTGTGTTTCCATATCATTAATGAAATACTAATTTGAGGCTGCGTGTGTGTCTTTGAAATTGGTTTTGCAAGTAAAAATTACTAAGTAGAAATTAATTTCAGTTTAAGAAATCTTAAATTTTTGAAGTTTAAACAAAACCAATTCTTAAGCTTTAAGCTTGGACAAAATGTTTATTCTATTTCTAAAATGCAACATATTCTAGTAATCATTGCCAAAGGTAGCTGAATAATATTTGGTCCCATTCAAAAACTTAATATTAAGTTCTTTAGAACTTCAAATGATTTATCATGTGTAAATATGGAAAAAATGGAATTTCTCTTAAATATTTCAATTTTCTGATTGACAATCTCTCTAAAGCACTAAATCTTAAAAGTCTAATATATGAACATAAAATATGGTAAAACTCATTTAATAGTCTAATAGTTAAGATTGTTTAATTTCAACTTAAAATCAAGTTTAAAATAATAATTTAATTATATATTTTAAATGGGATGTATTGAAGCATTAATCTAATCAATATTCTCTTAAATATTATAAATATACAAAAAATATTCATATTAACTGAAAGTATGAATAGCATTGCTTTGATTTTATAAATATTTTTATACTTAATTATAAATCTTCCTTTGGATGCTTAACCACTATACAAATGTATGTTATTTCAATCAATTTGGGGAGTACCTCCCATATAATTTGGGGTAGCCTCTCAGTTTTCTGGAGCTAATACAGAGATTTAAGGAAGACTGAATTCTTATTGAAGTTGCTCTATAACTGCCGTTTGGGGGTGGTTACATATTTGCATTCAAGTTGCAGATTAATTACATAATTTTTACTTTACCCATAGATTCATAAATTGCTCCCGTGCTTTGATAATTTTCTTCTTTGACTCTTAAAATATGTAAATGAATTTTCTAGCTAACTGTGTAGACATTTGCATTTGTTGACTTTATTTTCTTATTTCTAGAATCACACTGATATTATGGATTTTATAGTAATAATGATTAAATTTTAGACTTCTTTCATTGCTCCAGATGATTATTTAATTATAACTTTCAAGGTCATGCAAATGACATGAAAGATCATTTAGCAACATTTTCAGTATTAAGATTCAACTCACTTAAAAATTGATTGTGTTTGTACTATGCAAAAGAACATTTCCAGGAATTTAGAGCAATAAAAGGTTCATCATGATCTGATCTTTCAGAGAGGTCGTGTTATGGAAAACTTTAAAAGACCTTGAATGAAGCTAAAAAAGTTAGAAGATCACTAGGTATATTGTGGGAATAACTGTATAGAGAAGGAGTGAGAGAGAATATTAATGAAGCATGTAGATACCTCTACTGAAAATAATTTTGAATACTCAGCAGAGTCTGAGTTCTGTTCTATATGCAGAAGGAATATAGCTCTGAGAGTCATGGACTGGGTAGGTTTCTATGTAACCAGAAGCTAAAAGCTCAGGGAAAAGATAGTGCTAAAAATATAAAATGAGGGAACTCTTCATGTAGAGCTTGCATCTAAGTAATGGAACTTGGTGATTTTATACGGAATAAAGTGGTAAAAGAGTAGAGAGATCTGATCATTAAGATTCAGGCAAGCATGAGCAGAGCAGAAGGAGCCAGGACAAGGGTCTTCAAAATAATAACCAGCTTTGAAGAAAGACAACCATGTTTTGGAGAACAGAAGAAAAATATGAAGGGTGGGTAGTGTGGGAGCTATTTCATGCTTAGAGATGAGATAACACTTTTGGATAGGTAGGATCAGAACTCAACCTCATGGGTAGAAGAGAAAAGAAAAATAGAAGCTGTAGATATAAATGCAGTGTTCTGTTTCAGTAAGCTTTGTGTTGAGGAAAATGAAAGGGATTGGATAGGAATTTGTGTGTGGGGGTCAGTAATTTGGGGGTAATGGAATGTGAGAATATTAGGAGATAAGACCCAAGGACTGAATGAAAAGGGAGTATTAAACACCAAGAGGGAAGAACTTAGGAGCAAATCCAAAAGATAAGGAGGAGTAAATGTCTAGATAGAGGATGTGTTGAGGTGGGGATGAGGGGGTGGTCTGAGACAGGACATCCACTTCTTCTAAAGCCTGGAGGAAAAGAATAAAGGGCATATCCAGATTTTGAGGTGAAGTGAAAAAGAAA